ATTTTTGGTAAGCTATATTAAACAATGTATGTGAGAGAAGTTGAGAAAAAATAAAAGTAGAAACAATATTTTTCTGGGATGCAATGTGGTTCTTGCAGTTGATTTATTTAGTGCATTGTTTTGACACAAGCTGAAATGTCACCACCTTTGCCAAAGGACCAGCTGTTGGTATCAAGACTGCCCTGAGAAGAGCTCATATTCTCTAACCCATGCCACCCCTGGCATTAACAGGCTATATCCCTGCTGGACCCTAAAATTCATGTAACCTAATTAAGAATCAAAAGTTGTAGACACAGAGACCAATGGAAAAAACTCCCAAGAACCAAAGCTGGAGCAACTTGAGCAATAATCTGAGTAACATATTATTGGATTAAAACCTAAAGTATAAAATAAATTTCAATGAGTACATACTGATGTAAATATAAATGGAGGAGATAGATACCGAACTCTCATTTAAAAGTATTCCAAATAACTTAAATAGACATCCTCCATTCAAAGCCGGATAGGGCACAACACTCTTCAAGTATAGGTTATGCTTAGTGACTTGCATCTAAATAGTGTGGTACAGAAAGAGGAGAAAAGTAGCTTTATGGTGAAGAAACCTGACAATTAATACTTCAGCCACATCACATTTCATATCCACAGGGATAGGTCACACTGATAGCAAGAATCCTTAATATGATGTGCTAACAATGGTATTTCGCCTCTGTGATCTTCCTCACAGAAATAATAGACAAACACAAACTAAGGAACTGTATACAACATACCTGACCAATATTCAAAACTGTCAAGGTCATCAAAACTAGGGGAAGTCTGTGAAATTGTTACAGCCCAGTGGAGCCTAAAGAAATACTAAAACTAAATGAAATGTGGTATCCTGGATGGGGCCTTGAAACAAAACATGAACATCAGAGGAAAAATTAATGAAATCCAAATAAAACATAGAGTATCATTAATGATAATGTATTATTAGTTCATTAGTTGTAACAAATGTACCATACTTACAAAAGATATCAACAATAGAGGAAATTGGATGGGAAGTCTGTGGGAACTCGACCAATTTGGCAATTTTTCTGCAACTCTAAGACAATTATACAGAAAAGTTTTATTTAATATCTTTTTACATTTGGAAAATAGAGCAGAGACCATTTTCTCTCCTTGACAATAAAACAGGAACCTCTTGAGAACTTGTGTGCTCTGGGAAAGAACTGAGAAAGAAACTTTTGTTCTCTTTATTCCTTGCTCATTCATCCTGTGCTAGAAATAAACTATGTGATTTGAAGAATGAGGGAAACATTCACTGCTTCACGTGCGGTCCACCATCGGATGGATCTTTATCTCAAATTTGCCTGAAATGACTTTCTCCTATCTTCTTGCTTGCCATATACACACTTACAATGGAAAGGCTCCCCAGCCCTGTAGAAAGCTCAGAATTCTCCTGAGGTAGTTAATAGGTAGTTAAATTCAATTCAGAAAAAAAGCGCTGAGGGTTAAAAATCCAATATGGAACACAGTTCTAAGTCATTTTATCTAATTCAAATTTTCCTTCTGAATAACTGAGCTACCAACCCACTAACAAAAAATCTAATACACCTCAACTGATTTCTTCTATTTATTATCAGTTTCAATTAAGATTATAAGCCATTTACACACACACACACACACACACACACACACACACACACACAGAGGTATCCAGTCAACCACCACATAATTAACAATTTATAAACTTCATATTCGCTTTACTGTTTCAATCCTATCGCAACTCCCACAATCATTAATATAAAATTAAAGTATGTAAAATAGTGTATATTAGTTGACAACCAAACCCTATTTTATTTTGTTTTTTATTTATTTATTTATTTTTTGAGACGGAGTCTCGCTCTGTCACCCAGGCTTGAGTGCAGTGACGCGATCTCGGCTCACTGCAAACTCAGCCTCCCGGGTTCACACCATTCTCCCGCCTCAGCCTCCCGAGTAGCTGGGACTACAGGCGCCGGCCGCTCGCCCGGCTAGTTTTTTGTATTTTTAGTAGAGACGGGGTTTCACCATGTTAGCCAGGATGGTCTCGATCTCCTGACCTCGTGATCCACCCGCCTCGGCCTCCCAAAGTGCTGGGATTACAGGCTTGAGCCACCGCGCCCGGCCCCAATTTTAATGAGTAGAAATTTTTTCCTGCAAATAATGTCAGTGTTTTATCTTATTGTTAACAAGCCAGGTTACATTGTTTTGTCCGTGATCGGCTTTACTCGTTGTTCTTGCATCTGCTGTCTTGTCAAAGCGGCAAGCCTCTAAAATCTCCAAGAATCTCAAGTTTCTAAGATAATCTGAATTGACAATGAAACGTCAGTAGATGACAGCCACTAACAGACAGTTTAGTGCACAATAAACCACATTGTAAGTAGTTTTACAAATGACTTACAAAATCATAGGACTGTAAATGGTATAAATAAACCAAAATATTCTTGTTTTACAATGACTTCTCCCACCATATAATTTTTTTAAAAATTGGCAGATAGGAATTTACATATCTAGAAGACATTTAGCACAGACAACCTCATATAAATAGTGGCAGAGACCAATGCTAAACACTAAAATCCCTTTAGAAATCTTGATGTGATAGTATCTCCAGAAATTATTTTTGGTTCAACTGAAAACAAAATAAAAATCTAATCTAGAGATACTTCATGGCGATAACTTTGAAATATAAATAGAGTAGATGACAGCTGGCTAGTTCATTAAAAAGTCAAAATTACAAGTTTATTTGGTAAGCAGCTTTATATTCGTAGGTTTTAATAATATTTATACAAAGCACAACAGGTGACAGATTTTGGGCATTTCTTTAAAAATAATTTCATTGAAAAAAATAAAATTTAATGTCTAAATATTCCCCACATTTTACAAACATTGCTCAAAAAAACTTATTCTTCTGAAAAGAGGAATCCACCAATTTTGAATTCCTTATAGAGTCTCTTATAAAGCGTTCTTAAAATTGCTTTATTATGGAAAAAAAAATGTACTGTATGGGAAGACATCAATCTAGTCCATTTCACAGAAGGGGAGTTGTAATGTGTGTGATATATACAAATCCTAATGGAGTTTATAATTTTTATACAATTTTCTTGACCAGCTCATAAAATGAAGGTAAACATATAACAAAGATTTATTATTTGTAAGAATATAATGATACAACTGCTACTGCAATATGTTATTTTGCAGAAAGCATTTAAAATCACCTTTAAAAATGGTAAAAGGTTGTGGAAATCATGAATAAGCATATATAGAGTAAAATGGGAAAAATACTATACTAATGTCATGGGATTAGATACTGCTTACCTGGAATAAAATTTCCAGAGACAATATCATAAGTCGATTTTAAAAGCACTAAAATTAATTTGAAATAACTTAGAAAAAATGAAAAAAGAAAGCTATTAGGTGATTCAAAAGGTGGCTGTAGCCACACATTGCTGCCAAAGTTGCCTGTGCAGGATTTAAGCTAAATTGCTACATAAAATTAAGAATAGTAATGAACCTTTATAAGCAAATATTTTTAAATCTCATTTTTATTCATAAAATTTATGAAAGAAATTTGGCCTTTTTTGGATGAAAAAATAAGTAGTAACTTTTATTCAGCATTTCCTTGTATTAGGATTTAGAGAGTATTGCTTACATCTGTATATACATATATATGCATATACATATTGTATATATCTGTATAAATTGTACATATGTATATATGTATACAGATTTTATGTAGCATATTTGGAATACATATATATTAATCAAATAAACTACTTCAGTAGTGAATCTTCCTCTATTTTCAAGACTAATGTAGAAAAGTGTATTTTACTGTTATGGTAAAATATTAAATATATATTATCTGTAATATATAAAATCATATTTATAGCATTAAGCATTTGAGAAAGTTATAGTGAGTTACAATATCTTCTACATTTCACTATTAAAACTGTAAATAGTTCACAGTTAGTGCTATAGAGTACCATTATAAAAATAATTTTGCTTTGATCTAATTCCCCACTAGAGTGCAGTGTGAATTAAAAATTAAAACTACAGCATCTGGAAATTCCCCAGACATAAAAATAGCATTACTGTAATTCTGTAAATATCTAACATACATATATTGTAACACAACATTCAGCTTCAGTGGTGTGTGTTTGCATATAGCACAGCTAACGAACTCACCAACATTTAGCCACACAACTCAGATATTAAAGATAAACTGGGGGAAAGTCACAGAACAGCAGATAATCTCAATTGTTTGTCTTTATTAAAAAGCATTAATTGTTTTACATAGTCTCCTAACTTAAATATCACTTAGGAACTTTAAAAATGAGAATATTTTAATTAGGAGCATCTTACTTTTATGATAGGAAATTACATTATAGAAGACTACATAAGGCAAATCAAGGTTAATGGATTGTATTTCAAGTACAGTTTTTATCACATCCCAGCATCACACTAAATTTGATGGTCTCAATATAATTATGGCTTTTACAAGGTGATGGAAGTCTTAACTGAATGTTTGCAGATTCACCTACAAAAATTAAGCCCACAGTGGCAGAATGAGATACAGAATGAAACTTTTAAATGCATTCCTTTCTCCCTTTTAAGCAGTAGACTTTTTAGAGTTGTAAGCTTCAAATCAGAATTTCTATTTTGAGTCCTCAGTTTCAAAAAGAAATTTTACCTTAATCTTCAAATGACTCACCACGAAAGCACTAAAATATTTTTGAGGCCAAATGGGAGCCCATAGTTTAACCTCGAAAATAAAAACAAAAATATTTTGTTAAAAAAGGTAAATTATTCAAGTAGAATCTACTACTATATACATAAATCAGATATGTCTTAAATTTCAATGTCACGAATGTATTTTTCAAAGTTTGAAAGTCCAACGGAAACTTACATTACTATTACTACATTTTTTTAGTCAATGGTATGCAAATCTTTTCCTGTATTCTGACCCATTGTTCCTATTTTAGGAATGTTTTCTTGAATCAGTCATGCCATCAGGGCCTCCTTGGCAAAACATGGTCCCCCTGGAGTTATGCCACACAGCGTGTCTGCCATCACACCAGGGATGCTGAGGCTGCACTGTGAGTCCTGCTCTTGAGTTCTCAGACCATATTTTTTAAAGGTATTTTAAGCATCAACCCTATTTTCTTGAAAATGCACCAAATATCTTCGCGCTTTCAGCTAGTTCTACCCTACTTTGCATCTAAAACAGCTTACGTAAAACTTAAGAATGGTTTGCCTCAGAAAAATTTCTGAAGAACTGAATTAGAGAATGATTGTTTTTATGTATATCTGGTGAAAAGTTATGCCAAGAAAAAATAGGCACCCTAGAAGCTATTGAAAAGTCCTATGACAAATATGTTTTAAGCACCTGCCCTGTGTCTAGCACTAGTTTAGCCACTTGGGATATTTGCATATCACATCACACAATATCCTAGTTCTCTGTGGAATTTGAGAAGACAGAGATAATGTAGGCTAGACTGACTATGACTTTTAACAGTCAGTAATGCTAAGAGGAGAATTGTGATGAAGATTTTGGCTTGTAAATCTAGTAGCTATATGCTTTTATTCCGTTTTTTGGATTTTTTGTATGTTTTTTTTGTTTGTTTGTTTTTTGTTAAGAGACAGCTTTGCTTTTTCCCTCCCTCATTTATAATGCTTAAAGTCTCAGGTTTTTTTTCCTTATCTCATTGATTCTGTCTTCTTACAATACATTTTAATACTTTGGTGATTTCAACTGCTGGCCATGCCTAGTCTTTTTGTAACATAGACTTTGTCATATTACCTGCATCCAATTTTTCCATAACCATTCTTATAAATGTCTTACTCTTAGATCAATGTTTCCATTTACAGTTTTCTCCCTTTCATCATTAAAGGAGAAGAGCAGGTACTAATGATGATTCAGGATATCTTCAGGCTATATGAGAATATTTTCTTATACCCAGATAAATTTCCCTGAAAAATTTGCGCATCCTAACTGTGGCAGATATATTCTAGGATGGCCCCTCTAATTTCCACCTTGAGTTAATCAGACCTTTCCACAGTCTGCTCTCCTGGATGGTAGAACCTGTAACTTGCTTCTACCAATAGAATATGGTAAAGGTGATGGGATGTACATCATGAGTGGGATTATGTTACAAAAAGATAGTAATGCCCATCTTGTGAGAAGAGATTCTCCCTCACTAACTTTGAAGAAGCAAGCTGCCAAAGCTTTTTCATGTTGTCTTATATTTCACTTCTACAATCTGAAAAGAAAATGTGAGCTTATTATGAGTTTCCCTATGAAGAGGACTATGTGGCAAGGATCTTAGGGTAGTCTCTGGCCAACAACCAGTGAAAAAAAATGAGACCATAATAAGCAGCTGAATACTGTAAACAAACATATGAGTGAGGAAGTGGTCCTTCCCCAGTTGAACTATAGACGAAAACACATCCCGGCCCGTATCTTTGTGGTAGCCTCGAAGAAGTCCTGGTTAGGTAATGTGTGGACCATTGCGACTCAGAAATTGTGAGCTAATAAATGTGTGTTGTCTTAAGACATAAAATTTCTGTAATATTATTATGTATAAATACATAACTAGTATACCAGCTCTCTTGCAATCATTAATATTAAAATTAGAAAGTAACCCAAACTTCCAAGGAAAATCATTTGTCAAGAAAATGTCTTAAAACAAATTACCAGCTAACCAAAACCACGTTTTTTTGGTTAAATGAATTAAATATCCCAGCTGTATCCCTAATCCCAAACATATTTGAGTAAAAGTTAAAAGAAATAACTCCCATATGAAGAACTTGATCACCTGATGCACATCCATGACAGACATAACTAATCAATTATGACAATCTTTCCTTCAGAGGCTGGATTTGGTTTCAAACACTCAGCACATTGCAGGGTCCACAAATTATTCAGATTTACCATATAAGACAAAATTTATTTGCTATCCTAGATACACTGACTAATGTATCACGATCGAATTCGACTTAGAGAGAGTAGAAACCCATTAAAAAGATAAAATTAGGTAATATTCATTTTTCACTACAGTACCATTTAACATATTTTTCTATTACCCAAATAAGCTTGAAAGATTGTTTAATAAGTTTGTAGAACTCAATCAATCTAGACTGTTAAAAGAATCCAAATTGAAAATTACTTTGTTATAGCAGTTGTTATAAATAAAAATGTATTGCAGGGTAGTAAATTTAATATAAAAATAATTATACATATACAATAGAGTTTTTTTCATATGTAGGAGACTTTAGTAAAGATTTTGTTATATTTATATTTCTCAAATGCATTATATTTAGATTTAAGCTCCAAATAGAGAAATTATAGATATGGATATAAATATAGATGTAAGAAAAAATATGACAGATTAAGTATTAGACAATAAATTTATAAATTTAAATTGTAAAAAACTGGGTTTCTTAGACCTGAAAAGAAGGCAAGGAAGAATCTTAATACAAGTCTTAAAGCAAATAAAGGAATATTATTAATTGAAGGTGGTTTTTAGCTTCTGTCCATTTCTATTAATGAAAGCAAAATAATGAGTTAAAACTAAAGCATGAATAGTTAAGGTTACATATAATATTATTAAGAGAGGAAGTTCCTTGAACATTTTTCCTTTTTATTTTTCATAGATATTCATCTAACTGGGGTAGTTAAAATTAAATTATCTTAAAGGTAACAGTATGCATTCTGCTCCTCTTAAGTGCTTTGATTTTCAGAAAATGAGAATTTATTTTTATTTTTTATTTTTTTAAATTTGAGATGGAGTCTCACTCTGTCACCCAGGCTGGGGTGCAGTGGCGTGATCTCGGCTCACTACAACCTCCGCCTCGTGGGTTCAAGCGATTCTCCTGCCTCAGCCTCCCAAATAGCTGGGACTACAGGCACACGCCACCATGACCAGCTAATTTTTGTATTTTCAGTAGAGACGGGGTTTTACCATATTGGCCAGGCTGGTCTCAAACTCATGACCTCGTGATTTGCTCGCTTCGGCCTCTCGAGAATGAGAAGTTTTAAAACCAAGGATTCTTTATGAAAGTTACTTATAAAAGTAACTATTGTGTCATTAATACATATATTTTCATTTAAAAATGGGTTTAGTAGATTATCAAAGTATAATTGCCCTTTTGAATGTTGCTTTCTAATTAAAATGGGTAACTTGGCAAAATGGAGGTCTTAGAACTATTAGTTATTTTTTTCACCTTTTTTGTGCTTTAGTGTTTTTTTAAATTTAGTTTTTAACTTTTTTTTGCATTTTTTTTGTATTTTACTTTTATTGCGTGAAAGAACTGTTAATTTTAAAAAGTTTCATTTTTTATTTAGGTTAAGATTTAAGAAATGTAGAGTACAAAACCATGAGTTTCACTTAGTCAGTATGTGAATTTTAAACTAAATATCAACTTCAATTCTCTGGTGAATTCAAAGATTTACGAGTTCTGATCATTAATTTACTTACAGTACTTGTATAAAAAGCAAGGATTATCAAAATGTGCTGATTCTAACATGTTCAAGTTGTGTGGCCTCCAGTAAACCCTTCACCCCTCTGACTGTTCTCCCATTTGTAAGAAGGAGGTGAACAAATGATCTTTGTTGCCTTCTAATGCAATAAATCCTGGCCCACTTGGAAAAGTGATATTTCACACTCATGTCCATGGGACCATTATTGACCTCAGTGCAGCATGGTGTTTTGTCTTTAAAACATATCTTACAATTTGTTGTTTGCTTTGACTTCAAGGGAGATAAATCATTTCAACATATATTTTTATAATTTAATTTTCCTCTAATTGTGGCAGATCTCAAATCTTCAACACTGTGTGTGTTAATTGATACAACTTTTGCATTTGATGATGCTCTCAGAATTCAGCTACACAAGCAAAAGACTTGATGGTACTAGAGTTAAGGATAGACAAACGGGACCGGGTACAGTTGCTCATGGCTGTAATCCTGGCACTTTGGGAGGCCGAAGTGGGTGGATTACCTGAGGTCAGGAATTCGAGACCAGCCTGGCCAACATGGTGAAACCCTGTCTCTACTTACAAATACAAAAATTAGCCAGGCATGGTGGCAGGTGCCTATAATCCCAGCTACCCGGGAGGCTGAGGCAGGAGAATCGCTTAAACCGGGAGGAGGAAGTTGCACTCCAGCCTGGGTGACAAGAGTGAAACTACGTCTCAAACAAAATAAAACAAAAAAGGACAAATGGACTAAACTGCCATGAAGTTCCTTCACATGCTAAGATGCTATAGATTTGTGGTTCTATAGATCTCCATTTTTAAAATTTGTAGTGGTGTCACCTGACCATTTTTTTAAATCTTTTTTTAAAAAACCCTGCCTTATCCTGAGTTTTTAGGTAGGTTAAAATATGTTTTAAGTAAACATGAATTTTCTTCCAGAAACGCTGAAATCAGGAGATACCTTGCTGTACATTGAATATTATTATTTACTATCAACTTCAGTTCATTATATCTATAATCTACCAATGAGAGAGCAATCTACTTTACCCGATCTAAAATTCCCGTGATAAAAATGGAAAAGGTTGTGGAAACTTTAAAATTGTAAATTTCAACTAATAAATGTATAGATCAATAATCATCGGGGACAGAAACGAAATACTAAGAGAACATTTAAGTCGAATTAAATGACATAGGAGACAAATGTTTAGATAGAATATTGTCAGTGTCATAGTAATTTCTAATTCAATGGTGCTCTTTAGTAAAACAACTTTTATTGCAGGCTTAATAAAAGCTAAACTACAATTTTATGTGCAAAAACCATGGAGACTGGCAATCTTTTTTTCCTAAAACAAATAATACAAGTATTTAAATATGATCTACCCATTCAAAGTTCACTTTCTTTCTTTTTTTTTTTTTTTTTTCAGACAGAGTCTCACTCTGTCATCCAGGCTGGAGTGCTGTGGCACGATCTTGGCTCACTGCAACCTCCGCCTCCTGGCTTCAAGCAATTCTCCTACCTCAGCCTCCCGAGTAGCTGAGATTACAGGCACCTGCCACCATGCCCAGCTAATTTTTGTATTTTTAGTAGAGACAGGGTTTTACCGTCTTGGCCAGGCTGGTCTTGAACTCCTAACCTCATGATCCACCCACCTTGGCCTTCCA